CTTGCTTTCTTTGCAAGGTAGTCTGAGCGCCCGTTTTCCTTTCTCGGGATACGGCGGATATTGAAGTCCAAGAAAGAATTCTTCAGATCACGAAAGGAAGCATATTCAGCTGCAAACGTGGGCCAATCCGATGGCGCCTCCAAAACAGCAAGGATATCCGAACAATCCGTGGCAAAGCTAGCGTTGAAATGACTAAGCGCTAGCATACTCTCCATGGCCCAAATAAGGGAATCCCATTCAGCATGAAGGGGTGAGAGGGACCTTCTAACACTCTTGAGTCCAAACCAAGAGTGGCCTTGCGAGAAATTTCCTCTATCATCTAGTAGGATCCACCCAAGACCACTAAAGGGATCGGAATCCAGCCAGGAGGCATCACATTGGCATTCTAGAATTGGGGAGGATAGGGGCCTATGGACTACCAAAGGAGGTGGCGGAGGATCTGGCGAAGCATCTGCTTCCATAGCCCGCCGCCACACTTCTGCTTCATGAGTAGCAAGCAGAAGGGTCTCCTCAGGTGACACCCTTATATTCTCAAATAAAAACCTATTACGGGCTTTCCAAATAAACCACAAAATCCAGGGGAAGTTGTGGATATTGGATACGTCTATCTCCAATTCTTGACCTCTCCAAAAGAGAAAATCAAAATTGTAGAATAGAGATTGGCGAGGGATCACCGTCCCTGAAGAGGGTATTGGGGATAAAGCCCAGACCTGCCTAGCCGGAGGGCATTCGAAGAGGAGATGGTTAATTGATTCCTCTTCATGACCACAACGGAGGCAGTCTTTCTCCCTACCAATGTGTCGAGAGAAAAGTCTTTGGCAGGTTGCAACGCAACCCGAGAGACATTGCCACATGAAATGCTTTAGCTTTCTTGTGGTTTTAGTTTTCCACACTTGTGCCTGGAGTGCCGAAACATCCGGTCCCTGAAAAGGGAGGTCACAAGAAGGGCGGGAAAGATTTCTCGCGGCCCAATATCCTGACTTAACAGTATAATTCCCTGATTTTGTGTGAACCCAGCTATATCCGTCACTCAGGTAAGTCCGACTAGGGCGAATGCCCAGAATCAGAGGGATATCCGATGGGTCCACAATAGCATTCAGAAGTTCAAGCTTCCATTCCTGAGTATCCCTATTCAGTAGATCATTGACATACAGATGCGGATCCTGAAAAGGTAGAACACTTTTAGCAGGTCGAGGTGGGATGGTGGGAAGCCACGGGTCAGTCCATACCCGAGTTAACATTCCGGAGCCAACAGTTCTGCGCAGTTCTGAAATAATAATTATTAAGTGTTTAAAAATTAAAATTGTTAATTTTTTTTAATTAATATTTTTGTTTAAGATACCAAACTTAAAAACCTACCAATAATCCTACATAAAAACAAAAAACAAAAATACATATCTTAAACTCTACACTTTTAATATTAATTATTAAATTAATTCTAACATTCACTCATTTAATCCTACCATTGAGGATGGTCTTACCAATCTTTGTTATATTGTGGATTCAAATATCGCTTTTGTGGAAAGCAAAAGATATACAACATAGAAAAGAAAACAATTAAAAGGGAAGCAAAAGAAGTTGGTGATCGGAATCAGAATCACGCGTCTTATCCTCTCTATGCGCATTCAAACTTAAATTAATTACACTATTAGTATAAGATAATAAACACATTCTCACGACAATGACATTTACATATTTTGGCATCTAACGAATGTAATCTCACTTAATTTTTGTTTCTTTCGTCGTAAATCTCACTTCATTTTTTTTTTGTATTTATTTGCACTTTTCGATCCTATACTCAGTCTTGTTCTTGTATTATACTCAAGAAAAAAAAATATAAGTCGCAACAAATTATGATTAGTAATTGCTGTTAGGTACAACAAATATTCACCGTCTCAATCTCAGTACCATACTTTTTTTTTTTTTGTGTGTTTTTCTTATAGATTTTTAATGAATTGTATGAACACATTAACACATTTCCATACTTGGCCTTCACTGCTTGTACCCACCTCTTCCCCTTCCCCTTCCCCTTCAGATTAGTTCTTGCACTTCTCATCCCTTTCTCAATCGCTGCTTCTTCTTTTCTCTCTCTCTCAAGTTCCGTTCGTTCTTCGTCGGAGATACGGTAAGCTTTTCGTCCGATTTCATCTGCCTCCTTTGATCATCATCGTTTTGTGTTTGTTTTGAAGCTAGTAGGTTCCTTCCTCGAGTTCTGTGATTTTCTTCTTTAGAATTTTGCTTAGAAATTCAAATCGCTAGGCCTCTGTAAGATCTATGTGATCTGAGTTTACTATTGGCTAACGGATCCCGAGGAGTCGCTCCTCGAAAACGTCGTCGTTCCATTTCCCCCCCTTTTGTTTTGATACGAGCAGTTGAGTACTACTATAGGGCCTTTGGAGGCGTAACTAGATCGTTGTCAAACAGTTTGAACGATTTGATTTTCCGGCTAGTCGAAAGCGCGTTGCCGACAAATCGTGTCGGCCGAATCGCTGAGAAAAGACGAACGCATTCAGGTAAAAGAAGTCACGATTGAGTTTTCGAGCGAGTTCGTACCGTCGGATTTAAGAACGCGTCGTCGACGAGTTAGTGAGCTGGTTCGTTTATGGTTGCGGAAGACTCGAAACATTTGTTTTTCTTAGAGTGTAAAACTTTTCTGCATCTGAATTCACAACTTGTTTTTTTTTTTTTTTTTGGGATTTCTCTGTTGTTCTGGTTGACTGTTTGGTTAGATTTGTCATTATTGGAGAACTGAGTTTTATGATCTGATTTTGTTGTCCTTTTGAGTATCAAACATTTCATGGTTGGGTGAACTGAGCTGATCTAAATACGTTTTTCTCCTCTAATTTTTGTTGAAATAGGGGTGGAGGGAATCCTGCTGCTAGTGGTTGAGACTGAGTGATTTTGTCACAGCAACATGAATATGCCGCTGTTAGATATTCAACCGCCGACATTGAAGTTTGTAGGTAAGACATTTGGAGACTAATTCTAAATAAATTGCAAAAGGATATTTTTGAGTTTAGCGATAGACACTGTGGTCCTGGTTTATAGTTTCTTCTTTTTGTAAAGTATGGATCTCATAGCTAAAGTCCTAGGGTGTGGCTGAATAGTCTGTCATCAGTTTAGCAGAAAACTATGTCCGAGAGACATGTTCCAGTTATGGACAGAGAGGTTTCTGAATTCTCACTGCTTTCAAATTAGAATTCCGTCACAGTGGTCTGTTGATTATTGGTCGGTTCTCCTGCAAGATGAGTTAATTTGATGTCAATGTGGCTGTTTTTTTGACGAATTTTCAAACTACTTCCTGCTGATTGCTTTGTATATGGTGAAATTCTGTGATGTGGTTTCTTTCCTGTCATTTCGAGTCTGAGGATCCATAATAAATTGGAAATTGTGGATAAAATATATGTGCCTTGGAACTGTTATCCTTGTAATACTGCTAACTGGTTTCCTCTTCTGTAGTTGACCTGAAGAAGCAGAGTTCATGTGTGGTACAGCTAACCAATAAAACCCATCATTATGTTGCATTTAAGGTCTAAAGAACATTCTTCTCAAACTTCTTCTCTATCTTTAAGGCTTCAGGATATCAAATATCTTTTCTGAGAAAAATGTATTTTTGTTCTGCATTTTAAATCTAAACTAAATGTGGTATTGGTTTTTGAAAGGTTAAAACCACGTCACCAAAGAAGTACTGTGTTCGCCCAAATGTTGGCGTTGTTGCACCAAAATCATCCTGTGAATTCTCTGGTATTCCTTCTTTTTATATCCTTCTCAACTGTGCTTGAATTTCTTGCACCTACATTCTTAGGCCGATGTGATAAGTTGTTGCATGATTTTTACGTGGGGCGGGCGAATAGAATATATGCATAGGCTTTTCCCCTTGGACTCCGAACAGCGTTTAGACATTGTTTTAAGATCATAGGCTTTCAGAGTTTACAGTGTTGCTGTTCGAGAGTGAGAATATATCTGCTCCTGTACTGTGACTAAACTTCAAATATTTCTCATTACATGGAACCTGCGTTTTTGGTTTGTTTGAGCATTAAACGTTTTAAATCGGATGATTGATGGGTTCTTGCAGATTCCAATTCAGTCAATGCTTTGGTTTATTAAGTTGATTATGTTGTTGATGCAGTCATTATGCAAGCTTTTAAAGACCCACCTCCAGATATGGTTTGCAAAGACAAATTCTTAATCCAGAGTACTGCTGTACCTGCGGACACAACTGATGAAGACATCACAGCTAGCATGGTAAGCACTCCACCACTTGTTGAGGTTCTCTATCCAGAATTTCAGTTATTTTTCTGTGAAGTATATCTGTATGTCTATTTTTGCTTGGCAGTTTTCCAAAGTGGAAGGCAAACATATAGAGGAAAACAAACTAAGAGTCACTCTCGTGAAGCCCTCTGACTTGCCTGAACTATCTCCAATCAATGGGACACCGACACAGGAAGCAGTATTTGAAGATTCCATCCTCAAGGATCGTTTGTATAATCAATCAGAGGCCCTTGCTCCGCCGCAATATGTAAGAAGAGTTTTTTGCCCTTTTCTCAACTGGTTTTGATGATTTGTTAGTGAAGACTGAAGAGTAGTTATTTTCCACCAAATCCATTATAGCTTTTAGCCTAGGGTGCAACAGGTAGTTTCTTATATATGTTGTTTCTTTAATTGAATTTTTTTGTCTAGGAGGGTGAGATTGTAAAAGAGCCTAGGGTGGTTGGACATGATGAGTTAAAGGCAGCCGACAATGCAAAGGAGTTAAAGCCACCAAAGATGGGCACTGCGGATTTTATGGAAGATTTATACACTGCTAGTGACCTGAAGGCAACTAAAGATAGTTACGATCCATCGAGGATGCCAAAAGGAACTGAATTTGATCCAATCAGGTCTCAGAAGGATGCAGATGATGGAAGGAGGATTCAGGAAACAAATAATTTGGACATTCCCATGAAGAAGGCCATGGATATACCTAGGGATCACGGGTTCACTAATGGAATAACTTCAGTTGCCAGTGGAACCTATCCTGACGAACCAAAGATACCTACTAAAGAGAGAGATGGTTTCCAGGTGCTTAAAACAGATGGTCAGCATGTCAAAGGATTGGATGAAATTAAGTTGGCTAAAGACATTGAGGAGATGAAGCTGAAAGTAGATGCTCTTGAATCCAAATTAAAACAGGTCTGGTTATCGAATTTTGAAATCAATAACTTCCGTGCTATCAATGTTACTGTGCTAAAGAGTTAAAGTCTGATGCAGGCCGATTCAACTATTTCGAAGCTAATGGAAGAGCGGTCTGTAAGCTCCCAGCATAGACAAAGTTTGCAACATGAGCTGGTAAGAATACTAGTGACAAAACATAGCTGTTTCGTTCTCCTAGAACCAAAACAGTGTCTCAATAATAACAAAAGGTTGTATCATGATATGATGCAGGCGGAAATGAGAACGAAGAAGATAGTGAAAGAAGTGCACATTGGGTTCCCACTGCTGTTTGTATGCATTGTGGCATTCATAAGCATTGTTATCGGGTATTGTCTGCGCACTTGACTGCTGGATTCGGTAGTTATATGATATCAAGTGTGCAGTCGAATATATAGACGAAGAAGAGAAAAGGATTAGTGTGTCTGTTTGGGTTTTGCGCTTTGTGGGAGAGTATAAAATGATTCTCTCCGGCACATTTAAGATGGACAATACAGACTGTATAGCGTTGGCGTTAGTTAACAGAAGGACATATGGTATGGTGGTGATATGCTTTGTTTCTCTGCTCTTTTACTAAGTTGAAGCAGTTTGTTGGATTTGTCTCTTCTGAGTTTCCTTCCCTTGCTTTTGTTTTTGTTCTTTATGATCAATCATCATCGGATAGACTAGGGTCTGGGTTTATTTAAATTTACTCGTACCTTTATTTGGTTTATGCAGTTTAGGTTTCGTTTGGGTGCATCTTGTTCGGTTTCACAGAAAATCAATTTTAATACGATAAAGATTATGTTCATATAATAATTATATATATTTAGGGTTTTTATGTTACTAGTAAAATTTAATCTTCTCAGTGACTTTCGGTTTGGTTAAGCTAAAAATCGGTTTCTATTATGGGATTTCTTTTCCTGGGTCTTTAAACACATTTTTTCGATTCAATTTTGGTTTAGAGGGTAGACATTTTGGTTTGGTTTGGCTTATCCTTAAAAAAAAAAACATAATTCGCATCCTTGATACATATAGGCAGTCAGGCACGCAGATGACAAAATACGGAAAAAACATGAGACTTGTTAGAATCAGCATCGAAAATTATATAATTAAAGGGTCATTTTCACATTTTGCTAAGGTTTTAAGTTGTAAGAATATTGGTTAAACATAGAGGCAACGAGAGATGCGTGATGTATACATGAAAACAAAAAAAAGACATGGATCTAGAGAGGCAAGCAAAATGTAATTTTTTTTTTTTTCTTTTTTTTTTTTTTCCAAGTTGCAGTGAATGGATTCCCTTTAATCATGGAGGAAATCAGTGAAATAGTTGTCCCGTTTCTTATCACTAATAGCTTTTATCTTTGATTGTTTTCTTACCACAAATACAACTATTAATATCACAAGAATGTAGCTTGCTACTCTTCTTCCATTTTATGAATTTGATTGTCATTAATTATATTTTATTCGTACGTAATACATATACAATCTATACACGAGTCCGTGAATTACCAACGAAATTTCCAAACTAAGTAATTTGTTTTTATCGATACACTATGTATCCCATCTTTCTTCAGATAAACATTTCCTTTTCTAGAAATATTTTGACGGATCATTTGCTATATTATTTAGTAACGTTTTCTTAAGGGTGATACATTGTTTTTTTAATGGAGCTCTCAACCTAATCTTCGTTAATTGACTAGGCAAAAATAGTTAATGGAAAAGGCAGAGTGACTCGTGAGCTTGGCAGATCCATAATAGGTTGTCAAGAAAAAGCAGAGTTAAAAGTTCTTCCCTCTTCTTTAAGTCACCCATTAATTTCACATATACATATACATACATGTTGCATTTAATTCATATACATATTAACACATCTATAAAGAGAGCATAAGACTCAGAGAGAGCTAGAGAAAGAGAGAGAAAGATGGGTAGGCCTCCATGCTGTGATAAGATAGGGATCAAGAAAGGACCATGGACGCCTGAAGAAGACATCATTCTTGTTTCTTACATCCAAGAACATGGCCCTGGAAACTGGAGATCTGTTCCCACCAACACTGGTCATCATCTTTCTTATAACATATATATGTGTTTCTTCTAGCTAGTGTATATTTATTTTTCTTCCTTTTTTGTTTGTATGTGGTCTCCTTATGTTTGTTGTATATTTGCTTTTAAAAGGGTTAATGAGATGCAGCAAAAGTTGTAGACTGAGATGGACAAATTATCTGAGACCTGGAATCAAACGAGGAAACTTTACTCCTCATGAGGAAGGAATGATCATTCACTTGCAAGCCTTATTGGGTAACAAGTAATCTAAAAACAAAAGCATCTATATCTCTTCATCTTTTTTTGATTATCTTGAAGATCACATATAGATATATACCCTAGCTAAATCGTCTTATTGTCTATGTGTGTGGATGTGGGTTGAATCAAAAGATGGGCGTCCATAGCTTCATACCTACCACAAAGAACAGACAACGATATCAAGAACTACTGGAACACACATTTGAAGAAGAAGCTCAACAAGTCCGAGTGTGATCAGGAGAGAAGCAGATCATCAGAGAACATGACGTTGCAAACTTCTGCCACAAGAAACACCATCAATCATAGATCTACCTATGCTTCAAGCACCGAAAACATTTCCCGCCTTCTCGAGGGTTGGATGAGGGCATCCCCAAAGAGTAGCACAGCTAATTTCTTGGAACAGAAAATGCAGAATCATCAGACGAACAACCTCATGGATCAGTCTCCGTACGAGCAGCTACAAGGTTCTTGGGAAGAGGCCGGTCACCATAGCAAAAGAAGCAATGGGGGATTAGGTGATGGTCCAAAGATTACAGAGAATAACATCGGTGGTGATCATGAAGATGGTGGTGATGATTATGATGAGGAGGAGCACAACGCTACTCCACCATTGACATTTATTGAGAAATGGCTATTGGAGGAAACAAGTGCTACTGCAGGGGGTCAAATGGAAGAGATGAGCCACTTGATGGAGCTCTCTAATATGCTTTAATTGTGACCTATTCTCCTTTTTTCTTTCTTTTTCCCTTGTGAATCGTATTAATGAGACTGCTAATTTTTATATTTTCTATAGGAAAAATAAAGAAACTACAAGACAAAATATCACATGTTTATTGGTTTCTCTAAGATCTATATATATAGTTAAATGCTCACTGCATAAAGTTGTAACTAATCTAAAGTTGTGTTGACTCATTTATATGAATAAAATGTACTCTCTAAGACTCGTATAGAAACTAGTTAACGCTATTTCAAACCCACGTAGAATGCAAAAAAATATCAAAGGGGAAGTCGTGTTGCCATTTAGTCCATATATGAAAAACAAGATGGATGTATTAAATTAAAAGCTTTGATTGTATACACAAAAAAAGAGCTATAGTGATCGTTTATATAAAATAAGAAATCAGAAACAATAATATGAAATAGAGAAATGTAGGACCTCCATATAACTAATTAAGGATGGATAAGTATGTAAGACCAACATTATAGGCAAGATCTTAGACAATTCTTACGATTATTTGTGATTTAATTAAATTAAAAATACATCAAAATGACTAAGAAGCTATCTTATTTAAGATCTAAATAGTGTGCTAAGAAGCGTACACGTGACATGATTCTATTGGGTAGTAGGATAAATATATATATTTATTTCTAATTTTATTAAAAAGTCACTATAAAATTTGAAATTTATATTTATAGAAACAAATTATCTTTATATATGTGTAAATTTAAAATACCGCATAAATACATTTTAAAAACCTTTTAAAAATTATTTAAAAACCTTATAAAAACTTTGTAAACCTTTTAAAAACCTTGTAAAACCTTATAAATGTCGTTTAGAACCTTTTAAAACCTTATAATAATTTGGATTTAGTCTTCCCGTAGTAATGATGATCTTGATGTACCTTATCAACCATATAAAAGTTTATAATTTTTCATATTTGAAAAGGGGTATTTTTAAAAATGGATAGAAAAGAAGAGTATTTTCAAAAAGTGATACACTAAAAGGAACATTCATCAAAAATTCTCTAGGATAAGTGCCCATATAAAGGAACCATATAAAATAAATTTTCTTAAATTTTCTTAATTTTCTCTTCTTTCTTTCTTTCCTTAATTTTATCTTATGTATGTTTTAAATTTTAAATTTTTCAATAATTATAAAGTTGTTTCAAATTATAAATTTTAATTTAATTTAATTTTTATATAATTTTTCTTTTCCTAAGATCCTTAACCTAAGATACTACAAATAAAGATGTCTCAAAACTAAAAACACAAGTACAACTCTTAACTCTTACTTTTTCAAATTTATTATTAAACTAACTATAAGATTAAAATGTTAGATACCATTGATAATCTTACTCTAAATGGAAGAGATGAAGAAGCCACACGTAATTATCGCTCTGAAAAGGGCTGCCTTATATATATGGTGGTAGTCACAATCTTCTCAATCACTGCACTAAATATTGTTGAGGATTTTAGCATTAATTTATTAAATGCACAATACATACAAATAGTATCATTCTTCAGTTTATCATTGTCTCCATTCAAAGAATTGAATACATATCTCTAGCTGGCCCTTAAATTATTAGACGTCTGAGAGATCTCTAGCTTCGTAATGTAGCACTTGATCACAACCAAATAAAGCTAGCAGCTACTATTGTTTTTTTTTGCCCCAAAATAAAATAAAGTTAGTATTATTGTTTACGGCTCATAATCTCTCAAGTAGGTTCGCTAATGATGATAACTAAAAAAAAATATTAAAAATTAACAATCAAATGCAAGTCAAAAATGAGCAACAAGGTACGTACGTATATATAACTTTTTATTAAAATGCTGGACAGCCAAAAATCAATTAACAATGAAACATTTTTCTTACCATCTTTTTGGCAAAAGATATATAGCATATATTTTCAAGCTTTTCTTAGAGCTAAATAAAATTTTCTATTTAAATGATTTCTTATCAAATCATAATTATTTTTTATATCGTTACCTAAACCATATTTTTGTACAATATTAGCCAAAAAAAAAAAATCATACAACGACATTAATTTAATTTATTCATTCAAATACGATAATATAAAATTAATATTCTAATATACATATATTTTTATATAAATAAAAAAATGTGTTTACACTTTTACACACGCTACCTTTTTTGCTCTAAAAAATTGCAACTTTCGGCAGCCGTTTTTGGAATCAGTAGCCGACTCTCTTCCGTCCCACACATCTTCTTCGCTTTCAATCTTTGCCTAACATTTATTTTATTCATTAAAAAAAAAGTTAACAAAAAAACAAAAGATTAATAAGGTTTTAATACGAATATTACGACTTTTTTTTTTGTGATAACCAATGTTTCCACTACTGTAGTTGATCTTATATGGTTTGGTTGATTGAATAGAAATAAAATAGATCTCATTCAATTCAACATTGTCTCTCACAAAAGGAAATTTATTAATTTTAAAATTTAGCGATTGAATTGTGAAGACTACGTGCAGAGTCCTTGCTGGGTCTCTCCTCTCTCCTACTATGTATGGGCTTTCCTTTTTTTTTTTTTTTTTTTTTTTCTTTAATATATATACACAGTAAGTGAATGGGATCAATGTTGTTGTTTTCTGGGAACGTCTCTCTCTCAAAGAAAAAAAAAACACAACTTTACTAGATTTTTGGAATTTTCACCGTCAACTCTGTCATTCAAACCCCGATCCCAAGATATACTACTTCCTTTGACTCTCGGTGATACTCTTATGATTCAAAGGTTTGATTTTTATTATCATACAGAAGAGCTTTGTTTTGTTGATCATATAGATTTGTGGGTTTTGATCTTCTATATAAGCTTAGCTTGGTGATCTTTCTTTCTAATTTTTTTGACTTGTGCTCAAAATCGTGAGTTGAGCTGTCAATTCTTCTTTTAGATCTCTTTTCCTTTTTTTCCTTTTCTTTGTGGGCGGCATGCAGCTTTGGAAATCTTTTTGTATGAATCTACTTCTGTTTCAATTGCTGACTTTACAAAACTATTGATCTTCCTGTCCTGAAAATACTAAGAAGATCAAATTTCTGTATGTCTGCTTTTGGTCAACCTTATGCTTCTTGTCTCTGTTTTCGTCCTCAATCTGCAAAACAATTCACTTGTAAAAATCGGATCGAATTCTGGAAAGTACTTGTTATTTTTTTCATGTTTGTTTCATTGTTTTTTTTTTTTTTCTCATATAGTTGCACTCTAACTAATTGTTTGATGTGTATCTCATTAATACAGATTTGAAACCTGATTGGTTCTTGATCTTATGTTTCTACCAAAAGATGTCTACTAGACAAATATCGTCTGCAGTAAAATCACAGATGGGTTCACGGAGTTTCACTAGAGCTTTGGCATTAGCCTTTAACGAGTGGCTACTGATGTTGATGCTCTTTCTTAACTCCCTATTCTCCTATGTGGTCACGAGGTTTGCAGATTACTCCCAGCTTCAGTCTCCATGTTTGATGTGCTCAAATCTTGATCATATTCTCGGGAGGACTAAACATTTTAAGAAACCTCATTGGGATATTATTTGCTCTAAACACAAATCAGAGATCTCCTCATTGGTTTACTGTCACGCTCACGGGAAGCTTGTTGATGTCCGAGGGATGTGCGAGACTTGCCTTTTCTCTTTTGCTACAACCAATAAGTCCAATGCTGAAACTTACAGATTGTTGGTTGGTAAATTGGGTGATAATTCTTACTTTGGATCCAATAGTGATCGGAGCACAAATCCAAATTGCTCTAAACTTACAGATTGTACATGCTGTAATCAGCTATGGGGGCCTCAAACCGCTGATACTCAAGTAGCCGAACGAGAAATGCTACCGAAGATTGGGTTACTTAGTAAAGTGAGAACCGGGAAGCAGTCTACGCCCAAGAAAAGTGTCAGGTTCAATCACTTGCCTGATGTTGGGTATACTGAGCTCAAGATTCATTCAGATACTGAATCAGAAGCTGCATTTCCAGATACTGAACCAAAGCAAGAATCTTCACCAAGTTATATGCCTAATGCTGGGTACAATGAGCCCAAGATTGGTTTGGTTGGTGATGTGAGAACCGAGAAGCCATCTACACCCAAGAAAAGTGTTAGGTTCAATCATTTGCCCGATGTGGGGTACTCTGAGCTTAAAATTCACTCAGACACTGAATCAGAAGCTGTTCTTTCAGAAGATGAAGGTGTAGTCGTTAAAGAAGAGGATCATAAATTTCATACTGTGGATCTTCAGACTCCTCCAATTATCACCTTGCCTTATGATTTGGCTACCGACAAGCTGCTGAACCTTGATTTCCATTTGCAGCCTTTGACCACTCAAAATTACCAAGAGGAAGTTCTGTTGGAAGAGATCAATTGGAGAACTTATTCCTCATTTCCTGAGCTTTTTCCAATTGATGGTGTGCCTGAAACTTCAGAGAAGGTGTTGAAGGAGGAAGAGATCATTTCTTCAGATAATCTTTTCTTAACATCACGCGCCATGGATTATTTTGCAGCTGTTTCAGATGAGAAAGAAGAGCCAATTTGCCTCCACGATATTACTTTAACACCAGATTCAATGGAACATTCGGCAAATGCCTCTATAGTGAAGGAGACTGAGCTTATTTGCCTCAGTGATGTTACCTCAACATCATGCGCCATGGAACATTCTGAAGTTTTTCTAATGGGGAATGAAGAGCCGGTTCACGTCCAAGATATATCTTTAACACCAGATTTTAAGGAAAATCCTGCAAATGCCTCCGTAATGGAGGAGACTGAGCTTATTTGTCTAAATGATGTTACTTCAACATTACACACAATGGAACATTCTGCAGTTATTTTAAAGGAGAACGAAGAGCCAATTCGCCTCCATGACACTACTCTAACATCAGATTTTGTGGAGAATCCTGCAAATGCGTCCTTAATGGAAGAGACTGAGTTTATCTGCCTCAATGATGTTTCTTCAACATCACGCACAATGGAATATTCTGCAGCTGTTTCAGAGGAGAAAGAAGAGACGATTCCCCTCCAAGATATTTCTCTAACGCCAGAGTTTAAGGAAAACCCTGCAAATGTCTCCTTAGCGGAAGAGACTGAGCTTATTTGCCTCAATGATGTTACTTCAACATCAAAAGCTGCTGAAACTCCTGAAGATGTCTTTAAAGGAATTGAACTTATATCCTTCCATGATGTTTCTCTAGACGAGGTTCCTGACTCACTCACTACAAACGAAACATCTGTTGAGATGTTGAAGGAGAAGGACACACATCAAGCTGATATTACCTCTCTGGAATCTGAATATATAGTTGTACCATCTCCAAATTCCATGCCTGAAAATTCAGTCGAAAACTGTAAGTTTAAACTCCCATTGAATTCAATCTCCAGCTTTTTTTTATTTCTATGATGGCTATGAAATGTAAATCAAGATTATATAGTTAGCTTGTGTAAGCTTAAAATTATACATGAATAGTTATTGATCTCTAATAGGCAAATGAATTTTCATATCAGGTGTACCAGACAACAAGGAAATGCAAGAGACATCTCTTACAGGCTCTTTATTGTCTGAAACGGCTCCACGGGACGTCACTTCTCATACAGAAGCAGCTATTGAATCAGAATCCTCTTCCTTCAACTCAATGTCGGTGGCAGTGGAAACAAACCAATATTCAGGGGAGTTACTGGATCTTGCAGATGCATACAATATCGTTGTAGGCAATGAGAGCAACAAGGATGGTAATGGAAGAGAACAAATAGAAAATTGGATGAAGAAAGATACATCTAGAGTTAGCGAAGACCTTAAAGCTCTTCTTACTCAAATATCAGCTTCACGTGGGATAGAGTTTTTGTCGCCTAGAGATGTAAGCCCCAAGATATCCGTTAACAGTAGTGATCAGGATACAAAGAACCTAGATCATGATATGCAGCTGCTACTTCAGAAGAGAATGCTCGAAAGGAATGAGAGCAACTTATCGTTGGAAGGAGTTTCTGTGAGTGAAATCGAGGGGGAAAGTGAGAGTGATCGGTTGAAGAGGCAGGTTGAATACGACATGAAATTGCTGACTGGTTTATACAAAGAATTGGAGGAAGAAAGAAGCGCTTCAGCGGTTGCTACAAACCAAGCAATGGCTATGATTACGAGGTTACAGGAAGAGAAAGCGTCATTCCAAATGGAAGCTTTGCAGAACCTGAGGATGATGGAAGAACAAGCGGAGTATGATATGGAAGCAATACAAAGACTGAATGATTTACTAGTTGAGAGAGAGAAACTTATTCAAGATTTAGAAGCTGAGATTGAATACTTCCGGGACCAGACCCCGCAGAAGAAGAATAAGCTAGATGTTGCAGAAAAGGTCACCGAAATGGATTCACCTAGTGAGGGAATGAGCAACAAGATACAGAGTTGTTTAGTTGGGTTTGATGAAGAGAGATTATATATCTCTAGTTGTTTGGAGAAGATTGAAAACAGAGTAACTGGCGAGGCTCATGGCGACAATCTACCAGCACAAGAATCTGTTTCTGAGCTACAGGAGAGAGTAGAAAGGCTGAAGGGAGACTTATACTTTCTAGAACAGGTCATGAACTCTCTCGGGCATGGGAATGAAGGCATGCAATTTGTCAAGGAAATAGCTTCCCATTTGCAAACTCTGCGGAGTCTCAGCATGAAAAGAGAAGATCATACAGAGAGTTGATGCCGGCGTAACAACCTTCACAAAGGTATGTCCTCTCTTGCTTCTTTTATTTATTGTGTTCATTTTGGGGTTTTCCAAATCACTTCTATGGCTAAAATACACAAATGTCTTCTTCTAATCTTCTTCATCTGCCGTTGTGTTTTTATGTGTTAGATATATAATATATTCGTGGTGAGGACACTAAAAAAAAAAAAAAAAGCTTAAAGAAAGTGTACAGCATCGTCTTCATGGCCTTCCCCTTTGGTATACAATAATATCAGAATTTTTTTACAGTTTCATTTTTTGGGTTTGGTGTTCATAATTTTATTGTGGGGTTTTCACATTCTTTGTCTTTGGTTTACATTTTTCTTCTAGATTTTGAGTGAAGAGTGAATGTGGGTTTGTTCTGAAGTTCTCAATTGATTTGTTTTTTGAAATTAGTTAGATACTTAGATTGATATTTTTGTTTAGCATGTCAAAAGAGTCATGCAACTTGGTTATACTTGTTGTACATTTCTTGGTTATACGGAATGTCCTTTGTTAAATCTATATCTCTGTGTTGGTGTTAAGGAAAAAATTGTTAAAATATAGAATCTCGAATTTGGAAAATAACAAGAAGTTTGATGGAGTAATAATACAAATTTACAAAAGATAGTTTATAAGGCAAAAACAAAAAGAAGAAAACAAAAACCTAATATCTAAAGTAACATGTAAGACCTCCATGCATCTTTTCTCATTTCTTCTTTTACAACTTCAATAATCCGTCCTCCTCTGTCTCAGCCAAACTCCTTAATTAATCTGTCTTAAGATTTTTTAGTTTCTACAACACGTCTTTTCGCCCTCAGCCATATTTGTAATGTATCATTCTTCATGTCTCACTCGATCTCGTACACATCCATCTCTCACTTCTCTGTTTAGTTGGAAGATTGTATCACAGAACATGCCACAGCTTGTGCCCAGTGTCTCAGCCTCATTTTAACCAGTTGAGGACTATCTCCTGAAAGTTTATACAATACAACATTCAAAACAGCACCATATATGCATGTATAAACTCGAGTGAAAAGGTTAGGTTGCTATGATTTATATTTCCAAATTTTATGCTAATTAAGGAAATAGTGAAAAAACGTAAATATAAATGCATACCTGGAGACATAACTTTCAAAGAATCAGAGTCGCTTTTAGGACTACCGAAAGAGGAGGATCGGTCTCCAAGGGAAGTAGGTCGGGAGGATGACGAAGATCCACTGCTGCCTGGTGTAGAAACGGGTGAGACCTGACGAGTCACAGCAAAGTAAAGGTCCAATGCAGGCAAAGTAGTAGTAAGTTGTTGGCCTTGCTCCTCGTTAAACCCAAAACCTAGCTCAATAGATCCTTTGAGCTCACTCAAGTCCTCGTCGGTCAAGTTTTCTCCTCCTTCGTTATGCTTCTCAAGGTGCTGGAGCATCTGGCGGCGGCGACGCTCCCATGCTATGTCTCTTTGGGTCTCTAACATGGAGAGTTGCTTGGAGAGACGTTTCTTAGCCTTAACTCTCGGTGGTTCCAGTGGCATCTTTTGAAGCTCCTCTGCTTCGCTATCGTAGAGGGAGGAGGACGATGAGGTTGATACACTCAATGCTTCTCCAACCCTCACCATATTTTCTCTGTTGGTAATATTAGAAATATATCAGGCACGTTTATGATTATGTATCACAAGAAGCTGAATCTTTTTGCGGTTTGTGCCTTCTTGTACAAATTAGTCATATCTGCATATGTGTCTTTTTGTACAAGTTAGCTCATGTATATATGGGAGACTAAAGGGAATACTAAGAAGTTGTAAAAATGGATTTGAATCTCTCTTACGATTGTAATGGTGCTGACCGCGCCTAGATAGAACGCGGCCTGCACAAAATAATGTATAACTATGGAGAAGGAGACTGAATCAAAGCCAAGATCTCTCTCCTTCGAAATGACTCTTCCCGGGAGAAGAAAAGGGCAAAGAAGTTTTTTCTGTTTGGTTTATTTTTCGAGTGTACAGAAGAGATAAGGGTTTCTGGTAGAACATTACAAAACACAGAGCGCAAATGAGTTCTTGCAGTTTCTACAACACATTTGGTATTGTTTAAAAGTAGTGTGTTTATTATAGTTTTCTTTTGCCATTTTTTTTTTGGTTTATGCTTGGAATCCAAAAACAAACCTTTATGGTTTTTGGTTGAATAACCACCTCTTCCTTTATTTAGGTTTTGTCAACGGCTCATCATGTTCTCTAGACACTATTTTTTGTTGTTGTTCGTTTAAGCAAGTAAAAACACAATACAAAAGTTGTTAAGACAGACATATGAGGAAAAAAAAACACAATACAAAAAACATTACACATATTTGATAACTTTACACTTAATCAAATGAGCTAGATAAGATAACCAATTCAAAGTGGACAAAAACTACTACTAAACTAGACCCATTTTATTTGGGTAAAAATGTAAACCGGGAAATACCGGAATAATTTGATTGGGACCAATCCTAATCAAAATTGTTCGGAAGAAGGTTCTGTACGTTCTCTTGAAACTGCGCCTTTCTCATTTTGTTGGTCCCAAAGACAAACGACCCAACCCAGAAAAACAAAAAAAGGCGAAGAGAAAAATGCAGCAGCAAGTGAGAACGAACATCTCAATCTGAGAGTATATTTAGCGAACGAGATTGTGAAGTCAGTTTCCGAATGCTAATTGAGTGTTTGTTGTGGTGCGTAGGGGAGCAAGAGTGGATCTGAGATGGAGGTTACTTGGGAGGACCAGCAGAACATTAACACCTTCAGCCGTTTGAACAACCGATTCCACGACCTCGATGACGAAATCAAATCCGCCAAGGTTTCCTATCCTTCATTTTTTGGGTTTCGATTTCGTTTCCCCTTACGCCATATTCTAGGGCTTTTAACATTAGAACTGGTTAAATCCTAGGAGGATTCAATTCCCTCTGTTCCCTTTTTCTCTTCAGCTCACTAAACATAGGGAGACTTTGCTTAAGCTAACTGACCCACTCCTTTGTTGATGAATTGATCTGAGTTTCTGAGATTTTTATTACTGTTGCTCTCTAGTTTAGGATCATGATTTTTAGTAGTTGGTATAAATTACAATTATTTGACTTTGGAGTGCCTTGTTCCCTATATCTATCTCAACGTTTACATACTCTCTTTAGGTTATAGCAATCTACTGTAACATATGCTTATATTACCAATTGGTGTAATTCTGTGCCGTCTCTAGTAACAAAACGCCTGTACCAGAATCAATCCGCTCTCTCTTCCATAGAGTCTATTAGATCATTGTACTTAGCTATTGTTATGGTGTTAACAGTTCTGCAACAATCGGTACTTGTAGTGAGATTCAATGTCTGGATTCGTTTTTCATATTTTCTTCCCTGTTTCTGGGTTCAAGCTTTCCTTGCCTAGGAGTGATTCAAGATTTTTGGATGTGATGGAGAGAAAAGAGATGTGGGACTTTTTCAGTAGATTGTGGATACTTTTTTTTGCTCGTTTGTTTCATTAGGAGAATACTACTTTGTTTTCTGTATCTAGTAGCTTGATCAAAAGTGCTAATGATGCAGGAAAAGTGTGATAACTTAGAGGATGCTGGGAACGAGTTGATCCTTGCTGATGAGGAGATGGTGCGGTTTCAAATCGGGGAAGTGTTTGCTCATGTGCCAAGGGACGAGGTGGAAACAAGGATAGAAGACATGAAAGAGGCGACCAGCAAAAGCCTTGAGAAGCTTGAGGAAGAGAAGGAATCGATAGTGTCACAAATGGCAGCGTTGAAGAAGGTATTGTATGCTAAGTTCAAAGACTCCATCAATCTTGAAGAAGATTAATAAGATCCAACTTGGTATCTTTAGTATTTGCATTATTCAGTTTGATGATTATACCGAGTGTTGTAGACCAAGGATTCTCGAATTTAACATACTGGTTTTGTTCTCTGTGGAGTTTCATCTGGTTAAATGCATAAATTCTGACAGGGTTGCTTCAAATGTGTTCTGGAATGTTTTTCTCTCTGAAATTACGTCCTTGGATGCAATGTAAACATAATTGGCAATTTTGTAAAATACCAATCGAAGCCAATTTTCAATGCCAAAACACACCATCTTCTTCAGAAATTGTACACATTCAAACACGCCAAAAAAATACAATACAAGGAACTTTGGGGGGGATTCCAAGCAAAACTCCAAAGATGTGATTAACCGGTTTACTCAAACTGCGGTATAACTTGACGGTGGCCGGTTTGGACCGGATACAAGGCCACCCTGGCGGGCAGATTCTTCGTCAAGAAACAAATCATCGGTAGTACGAAAAGCGCCGTGAGCTCCGACGATGAGCAAACCAATGATGAGCGAAACCAGCACGTTTTCGCCTACATCTGTATACACCAACGCCAGAATCGTTACCAAGCTGAGTACAACCAGCACGATCCGGTCATCCACTTCTTTCCCAGATATCACAATCGAATCGTTGGCGTCTCGCGAGAAATAGAGCAGAATCCACCCGATGAAGACGACGATGAATGCGATCATAGAGATCGGGTGGTAAACCAGGCCGAGGAAGACAATGACGAGGACGGCGAGCGCGTAGTTTCCACGGAAATAAGAGGTGTTGTGCCTTAAGCGCGCCATGGCTTCATCGTATCCGTGAGGGAGACAGAGCGCGGAGAGTTCGAGAAGCTCTCGCCATGGACGGAGCGTGGAGATCATCGAGTGAGTCGTCTGCTTGGCGCGTGCACTCAACGTCCCGATGATTGTGGTGTTGGAGGAGGAAGATGGTCCGATACCTCCACCACCAGCGCCGCCATAACCGTACGGCGGAGGTTTCTGATTCATCGGATTTTTGGAAGAAGAAACCCCTGAAAATTCACAGATCTGTGTTCAAAAAATATCAAAAACTTGGAGTTCAAAGAGTCCACGACTGGAAGGGACTTGTTCGGAAATTATTATTTTCTCTTGAGACCTTGTAGTTTTTCATTATTACAACTAAAACATCAACATATAAACTTTTATCGATTGCCTCCATTTTTCCATCATCAAATAAAATCTTTCCATTTTTTTTTTTTTTTTTTGTGTGAATTACAAATTTGTTTGATGGGAATATGGATCTCAACATCTTCGAATGTTATTTTTGTTTAAGCTCTACACATAATCGATAGAAAAATATTGTTTATAAATGGATAAAAAAATATGGAGTATTGAAATCTTTCGAACCGATAAGGCTCTCTTTAGTGAGTGAGTAATCCGACTGAATAAAAAATACCGAACGTTTCACGTCGGTAGGCTTTCTTAGTGATGTCTGAATTATACAGAAGAACTTGGCCGCCAATTTTCATATATACAGAAACACAAACACGTCGAAGCTTCTTCATCCATCATTTATCTCTTTGCTTTGGTTTCGATTGGTTTGGGTCTAGGAGAAGAGACGGAGACACCACCACCACCACCACCACCAAGTGCTGCAGCTGCCGACTCTACATGTGTCAGAAGATACTCGTAGATCTTCTTCCGTAATCGATCGATTGTCTCTTTTGAGACTTCTTGTAATCCTTCTTCATCCTCTTTCGACCCAATCTCGTCTAACCAATCATTCACACTCTTCAGCTGAGACAGCATCCCAGCGATCTGTCCGTTATCAGACAGATTCAGGTTCGAAGATGTAATCACGTCAGCGTCCAAGAATCTCTCTACAAAACCCAAAAACCAATCTTGTGAAACCATCTGCAACTTCTCTGCCAGATCAGTTGCCTCGTTCAGGCCATTCCCTTTCTCCCAGTTTAGAGGTGGAGACTCTGAACCTGCTACTGAGGTGGCCTTTTGGCTGCTATTGTTCTCCCTGTGTTTACGGATCATGCCTTGTGCCACGAGTTTAGATCCAATCGTTGGCTTGTTTTGGACGTTTCCACGGGTTTTACTAGAGGAATTATTACCCGGGCTCTCGAGTATGATCACAGGTTTGCTCCTGGAGGCAGCAAGTTTGGCTGGTTTGGTTGAGTATACAGAGAAGGGCGATAAATTAGTGACTAACGCAGCTTGCACCCACGAGGCTGCCAACTTCTGTTTTTCTGATGCCGCTTTCACAGCTTCCTCGGATCTGTTATCTTCATTTTCTGGGGAAGACGTCAAACCAATTAATCTAGACAATGACTCTGTTATTATTTGAACGTTCTTCAAACCAGAATGGAGCTTCAAGAACTGCTCAACAACTGGCAATGGATCATCTTCCTTCGCAGTTGACAGAAGATCGCTGTACATACTACAAAAAGGAAAAGCAGAATAAAGGTTAGAATTAACTAAGGCGGTAACAGTTACATTCAGAGACAAAAACATATATGTTTTGTCCCTCAAAGATCCAAACCAGCCAATGAAATAACTTTTGTTAAGATATTACGTACATGAGGCATTGAAGTAAGCTCTCAGAAGCAGAGGCTTCTTGCATGGCCTCTATTGCGATAACTTGAGCCGCATCTCTATGCCTCATGACTTCCTGCAAATATTGATAGCGCAAGGACTCAGTAACCATTTCTTCAATCAAATCCTGATGCTAAAGACGAAAATCTATGATGCATGTGCCTATAAGTTCTACTCTGTCACTGGAAGAAATATGCTAGAATGGAGATGGGCTCAAGTAAGGAAAACCATACAACAGATGAGAAAGATCTAAAATCCACAGTCCCCATTTTGCTTATCGAAATGGCATAAAAGTGAAAAAATTTCTAAACTGGTTGTTTTAAATTTTGAAGTTGAATTTTCTTAAAATGCTTCAAGGCCTAAACATGAAGCAAGCACATATCAGGATCCAAGAGAAGCCCATACCTGTCCCATCCTCGAAAGAGATGAAGGGAGTGAACTCCATTGGATATTGCCTGCTGCTAATCTTTTACCATTAACAGGGACTTTCACCAAATTCCCAGGAAATCCATTATCTGCAGTAGATTTCTTCTCGACAGCTTTAGATTTAGGCCTAGTTGCTTTATCTTTGGTGTCCAATATTCCGGTTGTCTCGACTTTCTTGGTAGGCTGAATCTTATTGTGCTCCTTCGATGATCTTGCAAATACATTAGCCCTCTCCTGTTTGCTTGGCAATTTCTCACTCGATGTGCTTTTCCGTGGAGCCTAGTAACCAAAAAAATACAAGTTATATTCAGAAAATTGAAAAAAGTATACAGTAGTAGCATCTCATGTAGTTACAGATGAATTCAGATGGAAAAACATGAAACTGAGAGGAAAACTGGTGAAAGTATGATAGAACCCTAGATTCTGCAGATAGTAAGGAATAGTAACAGTTTAACAATGCTCTCAAACAACTGGTGTCAGCTTCAAATCAAGTGGTCATGAATAGGTATTGTCTAAATGCCACTTTACATGTCTAAAACAAATACTCGTTTGCAAACAAACAAAACAAGAAAGATAAATTCAAAAAGCTTACTGCTAAACCCCGGGAATCAGGAGTTAAATCACGTCTGGAAATGCTAGATTTTGTCCTATCTGAGCTCCTGATTTCTAAATTCCCTTCCCAGCTTTTCCTCAAAGCCTTAGCTCCAAACTCAATCCCTTGCACAAAATTCTTAATCATGGGAAGCTTCTTCCCAACACTTGGACTCTCCGGTTTGAGAGAAGAACGTCCTTTATCTGACAGCCCCATTCTAGGAGAACCTTTCTCCAAGACCTTAGGCTTCACCTGCTGTTGGTGCTTAATCCCATTAGCAAACTTTGCAAACGAATTAGGCAGTGAATAGCAACTCGTGGGGGATGAAGGGATGGACTTTGAACCAGAAGAAGTCTTCAGCTTCCCCAAAGATTCCTTCTTTACATCCAAACTCAAACCTGACTTAGCAGATTTGGCACGAAATAGAGCAGACGCCGGCTTTTTAGCTTCAGAAGATTCATCCCTAGAGATACTGACACTCAGTCTATTTCCTAGTAATCTCTCACCGTCACTTCCACTCCCATTAGGAACCATTCCTTTAACAGGTGCCTTAACTCTCTCTTTGGGTTTCGAATTAGCAGGACCAGTATCAGTAGCCTTGTCATCACTAAGAAACCCTAGGGAGTGAGTAGCAACAATATCTTCAGGATCACCAACGCAAGGATGCCTACCAGGAACAGGCCTAACACCACGAAGAATCGGGACAGGGGAAGAAGATTCGACTCTGTCGACATGAATAAACTGACCTAATTGGATCTTATCACTAAGAATCAAATCATCGTGCTCATCAGGCAAAGAGACGTAGGTGGCGTGAGAGGAATCAGAGACTTTGAGATAGAAGCCCTGGTTAGGGAAGAGCTCCCCTCCGGCTAAGGCAGGAACAATACTGACGACCTGTAAGAGAGAGGACCTGTGTTCGCCGGCGATTTTGACGTCGGTGTTCATATGCTGGAGAAGCTTGAGTAAAACACCAGGGACTAGATTCGCCATCTTCGTAGCGCATCACCGACGGATCTTAGTAAAAGACGGTGAGATCTCAGAGAGAAAGAGGCAAAATTGTGTTTGGGTGGGATTCCAAGGGAAGAAATTAGCAAAGCCAAGAGGGACAAAGTTATACAACTAGTATTTAATAATTTTTGTGGGAGAAGAGAGAAGAAGAGTACAGCTAGGTTTTGAAGAGCAAAGCAAGAGGAATGTGAAAATTATTTGATGATACTTCTCTCTCTCTCTCTCTGATGCGTTGGTGTTGGTGTTGGTGTTGGTGCTGTGTGTCTTGGTCTACACTCTCTCTCTTCTGTACAGCCTTACCTCTATTCTTAATTGATATTAAGAATAGAGAGAGAGAGAGAGCAATAAAAGAAGTAAGTAAAGAGTCGGACTCAGTTTCAGGAGTTGAGAAAAAGATGGCTATTCTTTGTTTCGTTGCGCCTTATGTGGCTACTACTCCAATGCCATCTCCCTTTTGTTTTTTACTTGGTCTTTCTTATTTATTCATCTCTCTTTACCAAATTACATAATGTTCATTTTAATTATTTGTGGTTTTGTACGTTTAAATTGTAATGACTGTTATTAGAGATTTCACAAGCTTTTCATTTTGGGTAAGAAACAAAATTGCAACAATAATTAGCATAGTAACAAACTTTTACTTTTTAAGTTACAGTATTTCCAATCAAATTAAGTATAGAATATTCTTTTATTTCTATCATTTATATTATCATTATATCACTAGGCCATACCAAGCTTACCAAACCCCCCTCCCCCTCTAGGGTGAGATGATTCCTGAACCTTGGTTTTTTGAGTTTCCCCCGCTTTAGGGTTGGCTCATTATTACAACCTATACTTATCTCATTCTCAGCATTTCAACCTATACTTTTTATCTCTTCATAAAACAACACAAACTTATTTTATCATGCATAAATCAACATATACTCTTAAAACCATTTAAAACAGTACCTCTCCAATTGAGATGGATAATTACGATCACTAAACCTAATTAAACCATTAATCGCGATTACTCATCGCGTTTCACTCTAAAACACGTCTCGACAACACCATATATGATTCGAGATAATAAAACGTAGCTTTTATTGAGAAAAAGAGAAAGGACGTCGTATGGCAGCAAAATCTAGGGTTCTTCATAATGGTTTTGAGAAAGTCACGAATGGAGAAGACAATGAAAACGGTCGTGACAAGGCTGGTGATGGTCGTGATGAGGCTGGTGATGACAATAGAGATGTTGAAGTTGGGAATTCGGCAAGCCAAAGCAAGGCAAAACGAAAGAGACACGAGACTGAAGATGAAGAAGACAAAAGGGAGAGTAAGGCGACTCGGAATAAAGATGAAGAAGACGACATAGTTGAAAGGTTTGAGTTTGAGATAGAGGATTCTGTAGCAAACTGGTTTGATGATTTCCGGATTAATCGAAATACTGTCCCAGAGAGTTCAGATGAAGAGGAAGATCCGATAGTTATTAGAGATAGGAAAATTATGATTGGAACAAATGATAAGTTAGCTATTGGAAGAACATTCTTTACTGGGTTTGAGTTCAAAGAGGCTGTGTTACATCATGCTTTGAAGTCGAGGGAAAACATTAAGCAAAACAGATGGGGGAAGGAAAAAATGAGCTTCGTATGTGGTCAAGATAAAAATTGTGATTGGAGAGTATACGCCGCATTCGAAAAGACTCGGCAATTGTGGGTTGTGAGGACTAATTGTAGTTATCATAGATGTAAATCGAATGGGAAATGCAAGTTGTTGAAAAGTCCTGTCATTGGAAGGTTATTCTTAGATAAACTGAGGTTGCAGCCTAACTATATGCCTCTTGATATTCAAAGGCATATTAAGGAGCAGTGGAACATACTTATTTCTATAGGAATAGTTCAAAGAGGAAGACTTCTAGCTCTGAAGTGGCTTCAACAGGAATATGCTCAACATTTTGCTCACCTTAGAGGTTATGCGACTGAACTCATAGATTCAAATGCGGGATCCACTGCTGTTGTTGATACCTACCTTAATGCCGATGGTGAAGATGTTTTCAACCGTATTTATGTGTGTCTTGGAGCAATGAAACAAGCATTCTACTATTGTCGGCCTATCATAGGGATTGATGGGACTTTTCTGAAACACGCCGTCAAAGGCTGCCTACTGCCTGCTATTGCTCATGATGCAAACAATCAGATATATCCAATTGCATGGGCAGCTGTACAGACTGAAAATGCTGATAATTGGTTGTGGTTTCTAAAACTACTAAAGGCTGATTTAAATCTAAAGGATGGGCAAAATTATGTCATCATATCAGACCGTTCTAAAGTAAGTGTTCTTGTTAGTTTCAATGTTTAAACGTTTGTCTTGTTTCATCTTATACTAGCTTGATGTTACTTATTTCCTTGCTTGTTTATGTAATTATGTAGGGAATCATAAGTTCAGTGAAAAATGAGCTGCCAAATATTGAGCACAGAATGTGTGTCAAGCACATTGTGGATAACTTGAAGACTAGGCATGGTGATAAAGATTTGCTAAAAAAATTGGTTTGGAATCTAGCTTGGAGTTACAACCATGCTGAATTTGAAGCCAATCTGAACAAGATTAGAGCTTATGATCGGTCTCTTTATGATGATGTGATGAAGGAGAATCCAAGGAGTTGGTCAAGAGCTTATTATAGGATAGGAAGTAGTTGTGAAGATGTCGACAACAATGCAACAGAGTCCTTTAACGCTACAATTGTCAAGGCGAGGGCAAATGCATTAGTTCCAATGTTGGAAACTATAAGAAGGCAGGTCATGGGAAGGATTACTAAGAGAAATTTGAAAATAGAAAAATGGAAAAAGAAGCTCTCTGAGTATGCAACTGAGATTTTGGAGGAGGAGAAAGAAGATGCTATGCGATGTGAAATTACAAAAGGAACACATGGGCGGTTTGACGTTTATTTAGATGGGAACTCACATTCTGTTAACTTGTCAACAGGTAAATGGGAATGCTCATGCTGCAAGTGGCAAATCACAGGGATTCCATGTGAACATGCTTATGCAGCTGTTTTAGATGTTAACAAGGATATTGATGATTTCGTATCCCCATACTTTACAACTCTAGTATGGAAGGAAGTGTATGATAAAGGTCCTGATCCGGTTAGAGGTCCACGTTTTTGGATGACCAACAGATATGTCTTGATAACCCAACCTCCTGAACCAAATCTACCTGGGAGGAAGAAGGGTCAGAAGAAGAACTATGATCGGATCAAAGGAAAAAATGAATCACCCAAGAAAAAGAAGAAGGAACCAAAGAAGAAGAAACCAAAGAAAAATATGGGAATTGACAAAACTCAGCCAGACAAACTAGGAAAGCAAGGGAGAACCATGCATTGTCGTAAGTGTCATGAAGCAGGTCACAACTCAGCTGGATGTCCAACATTTCCAAAGGAAAAGAAGGAAAACAAAGAAAACAAGTCCAAGATGAGTAAGAAGAGTAAGAATGGCTCAGAATTTGATGAGGCTGGTCCATCTACTGTACAAGCAGCAGAGACACTCACACTCTCACAGGGACCAAACACTCTCACACAAGAAAGTAATATCTAGGAGTTGTGTTGCAGTTTCACTTTTTTTTTTTAAATAGTTGCAGGTTTTTTATTTGGTTTTAAGAGTAATGTTGCAGGTTTTTGTTTGGGTTTAGTACTAGTTGTTTTGCCATTTTTTTTTCATAAACTAGGACTCTGTTGCGAATTTATGTTTAGTTCTCAATTTGGATTTATGTTTGTGACCAATTGGATGTTCAATGTTACTTGATTTGGATGCCATCGTTGAAATCCTATTTCTGATTGATTTTTTTTTTTACAAGTTAACAAAGCCATTTGTGAAACCAGTTTCTTAAAAAACCAACAATACATTAATGATCATAACATTACACAACAACACAAGTTGTGCACAAGTGAGCTCACAATATATTAATTATTTTATGGTTTAGAAGATTGAATAGAAACTATGAACTTATGTGTGCTTGTGCGCTTCTGACATTGTTCAGAATTCCTATGTTATCTGCAACGTATGTGGCAAGGGCGGTAAAGAAGTAGTAAACATTTCAAATGGTGATAGCTCGAGTGAGCCAAGTCCTCCCTCTTTGGTCTCTGATTCCTATACTATCAGACTGACTAGCATAATTCCACCTGTGGTGAGTGTCCAGTTTCTGCTACTCATTAGTATGGAGCTGTTTCTTTACTTGTTGCCTCTTTATAGTTTCAGGTTGAGAAGCCAGGTCAAGGAAGGTTGTACGGTTTGTCTGAGAATGATTCAGACAACAGTCCTAATGTGCAGCTACAAGCTCCGTTCTAGCTGTTTGTGAACCTTTTTCATAAAACCTTTTTCCAAAGCCGTTTGTGAAACCAGTTTCTTAAAAAACCAACAATACGTTAATGATCATAACATTACACAACAACACAAGTTGTGTACAAGTGAGCTCACAATATATTAATTATTTTATGGTTTAGAACGTTGAATATAAAAACATGTATGAGTGAATAAATAAATAGAACACAACCCAACTAGTGACTTCCAACATAAGCTCTGCTTAAAGAAAGAGACTTGAGAGTATGCAGAGATCACAGCCATCACCCAAAAGCACAGAGAGAGAATAGCTCATGATTCCTTCTCCACACCAGCTACTCATCGGAACACCATGACGAGATTCTCGATTGGTTGAACGGTTTGAAACTGAAGAATAGCTCATGATTTTCAGAAATTAAGATATTGATGTAAGCTCGTGCTTTGAATCGAGATATGCTTCATCTTACCTCCGTTTAAAGGAACGTACTTGCTTAGTTTCCAAGCCGGGGTTAGTCTCCAGATACGACGAACACTCCAGGTGAGAGGATGAAGTTTTTTTTTTCTTTTTGCCGAGACGTGTTTTAGAGTGAAACGCGATGAGTAATCGCGATTAATGGTTTAATCAGGTTTAGTGATCGTAATTATCCATCTCAATTGGAGAGGTACTGTTTTAAATGGTTTTAAGAGTATATGTTGATTTATGCATGATAAAATAAGTTTGTGTTGTTTTATGAAGAGATAAAAAGTATAGGTTGAAATGCTGAGAATGAGATAAGTATAGGTTGTAATAATGAGCCAACCCCTTGCTTTATGCAGATTTAATTTTTGCCGAATGAACATGAACCCTTGATCTAGGTTTGCAAAAGTAATGCAGCATATTTGGCTTAATATTCATCTTGAGGAAGGCATTGTGTGTTAAATGAATATAATAAATAGAACATGGATGTGAAGCTGTAACAGTGATCATCATACAACAGAGGTTCATCAGTTCATCATTGTCTTCTGTTAAGAACTGCTCACAGAGATATCATCATAGCAAAGATGATGAGACCATTACAACTATAAACATAACCGCTATGCTAAGGTTGACCACAGTATCAACATTTTCAAGCTTCTCCAGTTTCTCCTGCAAGTCTACCCGCATTTGTGTGTATGGGCATTTTTGCTTCTGCAACAACAAACATTACATGGTATCTCAGTTCCTTTACTCGAATCCAGCAAATGCATTAAAACAAGCCAGAAAGCATGGTCAAGACCCTAGCCCAGCTCAAATTCATGACTTAAATATACAGTATTCTCTATGTAAATACTCAATCCAAAGTATGACAAAAACCAGTGGAGGGAGTATAGCCAGTAACCTCAGTTTTCAACTCATCGTTTGGGATGTTTGCCTTCTGAAGCTCATCATCTTCGGAAAGTTGATTGAGTGGCATCTCGGAATTGATCTTACTATTGGAGGTTTTACTTGAGAACGCTTTGTAAGCCGAATTAGTATGAATGGTCTCCATAACTGAACCGAAGAAATTTGTGACAGGTACCTAATTCCCATAATAAGTAAGCTTGGAGAATCAGTAATTAATCATTCAAGACAGAGATTGTTCATATAAACAGAAATGAACATATCCGGAAGGCGCAAGCTTTTCATCTAAATCAATATCGGTTTCCAAATCATGTAACAGTGAACTTATAAAAAATCCCAGACTGTTCAACCCCCACATAACACGCTACTAAATCCTAGGTTACTTAGTCTTGATTGGCCAAAACAGAATGATAATCTAAGCTGACATTAAATATAAACGTGACATTGCACAATCAATTTCCTCCTTACCTCCACCAGATGTGGTTGGTAAAGATCAGTCCGGTAGTAGGCAGTAGACATTAGCAGTTTCGGATCGTAGGACCTAAATAAACTGCATAACAATAGGGGGAGAACAAATGTTCGTAACTCAGAGAGTTCAGCTTAAAAGGCGTATCAATGATCAGAATATGACCAGACAATACAAGGCAGTTCAGACAACCAAAAGGTTTAGTCAGACATCCAACTTTATTAGTAAACTTTGTCAATTCAACAATCACAATGTCGTCAAATATAGTCAAAGTGAAAAGAAATATCATATAAAACGTCAGCAAAATGATGGTGACAAGAATTGTATAGTCAGTGTACCTGTTAAGTGATGCATTGTCGTAGATATTGAGCCTCTCAAAGAATGCGAGAGTGTAATATGTAAATCGATCTACAACAGATACACCAATCTGAAGCAAAAACAATTTTAGAATTGGAGACCAATACAAGGATAACAAGAATAAACAATCCGCAGACAATATGATGACTCCGTTGAAAAGTTTCCCTTTGGTATTATAATGGTACTTTCCATTCATGATATAGTGAAGGGCACTTACATCTGAGTCCAGGTGATGGGAATATGAGTTCTCTCCTTTCAGACTGCTACCAATAGCCAAAACACCAGGAGATTGAAGCTACGAAGAAAATTGTTTCAGAAAATTAATACCGTCAGAGAAATATTCAAATGATAGATGCCAATTAATTGCTAAGAACAAGCTCACGTAAGCCGTAAAGATACTAGGATATCAACATATTAACTCCAAAAGGCAGAGCAAAATAAAAACTTTGGCTTACTGAAATATAAAGACGAAATAACCCTAAAAAGTGTGTTAAGATGTACCTGATTAAAGAGAGTGGCAGCTTGACAAGTGTCAACCATTATCATCAGCTCCTTGAATCTGGGCTAGCCAAAGAATATCATTAGATAGTCACAACTTAATTAAGATAGATAAAAAAATGAATCTTGTTTGTTCCTCCTAAAATGGCCCTTGGAAAAGCTATGGGCAGGAAAATCCAAACTTTCAAGAGAAAAATATACACTGCTGAACGAGTGGAGGATATAATCATATATGACTGGAGAAATTCCATAAATGTGAAACACACCTACGCTTCTCTTTCATTTGTTTTACAGCATCTGCTAAATCGTGACTCTGGAGTTCTTCTGCATCTTGAAACTTAAGAAATTCATCACCTCCATGCCCAGTCATGTACAGCAGAATATGGCTACCCTCATCACTGAGAAGACGCTTTGACCTTGGAACAGCATTCTCATGACGCCCAGTCAAAACCCGTAAAAAGTTTTCAACTGTTACCTCATACCCACGATAATCTACCTGAGTGAAAATGATTTTATACAATCAGCCCTTCTTCTGGAAAACATCTGTTATATGGGATGGGAGCACCATAAAGGAAATGTATATATGCTGGGTGCGAGCAATCTTATGGAACACAGAGAAAAAAAAATGACACAATATAACACAAAATTGATTCTATGCTTACAAATATGAACACTACTTCTATTATACGTACTCAAGACATAACCTTCACTACTACATAAACAACTGCTAAACCCTTGGAGAAGTGTTCTTCAACCAGAAATTTACCTCAACGTTATCTCCGTACAGGTTAAGTTTGTGGTTTTCATTGTTAAACACTTGCGCTGGATACTCATTTCTAGCATTACATGCCATATCATCTGCAAGCATAAGAATTATCCTCTCATCTGGTATTCCAAGTCTCTTGACTGTCCTAGAAATACCAAGTAAAGACAACATGTCGTAAGAAACTAAATGTGAAGAGAACAACCTCCATGAATGGTAAATCCAAGATACAAGGTTTCAGGTAAGGGAAACAAAATGAGTTATCACCTATACAGGGACAGAGTATTGGCCATGTGCCGGTAGTTAAACCTGAGAAATAGCAACAACAGCAATAGGTTAATATGGACAAGACCTGTAACTTCAGAAAGATAGATAGATTATTGGTAACTGGATCGGGTTTATCAATCAAGCATCCTCTCTCTTACAAGGTCCTTGATTCTATTTCAGTTCAAAGAGAAGAAACGAAACTGCAAAAGATCAACACCAGTTTGCAGGAATCTGAATTCTTGTTAAGTAGAGTAACATAATCAGGTTCTGAGCCAATCTAATCACCATCTGTGACTCACTTATCAGAAGAACTACATTGATCTGTTTACCAATTGACATGAATCATCTACACATTATCCGAAACAAAACTGCTACCAAGACTTTAAGCATACCAAAACAGAAGAAACAGGAATGAGAGAGGAGTATGGAGAGGATTATACCAGAAACGAGAAGTGCAGACCAAGACAGCCCAATTGTTCGTGTGGATAGTTGTATCCCCGGAAGAGGAAGCGAACGAGTAGCAGAGAAGCATTACGAGCATAAGAATCTTCATTTTTAGGAAGAAAATCTGAAATGAAAATTGAAATCGATTGTGAGGTTTCCGAATCTAAACCATATGCGTATCCGATTAAGATTGTCGTCTAGTGCATATTTGACAAAGATCTACCAAACGAACTTACCAGCGCCAAAGGGAGAGAATTCGGCGTCCGAAATGGAGCTCCGGTCAAAAGATCAGCTTACCGGCGGAGGCGTGGAAGAAGAAAACGGAATAGAATGAAGCATACGACTGAGAAAATCAAACCTTTTGGTGTATTTTTACTTGTTTGTTTATTTTAATTTAATCATAATTGAGTCAAAATAAATATGCATATATAGAATACTTATAAGACCAATAAATGTATACATAGTTAATGTTTTTGTGTTATTTTTTATTTGTTTCCTTGGTAAGACAATGTTTTTGTGTTATTTCTACAGTGAATTGTTTTTACATGTTTAAACTGTTAAAATCTGGTACTGAAATCCAATAATATTGTATTTTCTTTAAATTTTAATGATGATTCTAATTTCTATATCCTATTAAATTTTGGTAAATATTAATTTTAAAAATATTTTCTAATTAGAAGATCCATAACTAGATTTTATTATTTTTGAACATTGTTTTTATCAACATCATCAATATATTGAACATACTGTATTTCTTAAATATTATTACATGTTCGAATTTGAAATTTCCCAAATTTAAATTTTTGACACCTCAAACACCCGGTTTTCAGGTCATTCCTATTTTCTTAAATATTCTTTCACTCCACACAAAGTGATCGAGCGATGGACTCTTAGATATGAAGATCGATAGAGAGGGAACAAAACCTTGTTTTAGTATCTAGAATGACGTAAAATCTGATTTCTCCTTCATAAAAAAATTGTAATTAGTGAGGAGATTCAAGGGCACAAAAAGTGGTACAAGTTCATATAACTTGAGTCACAATCAATCTGCTTCGGAGGTAAACGTGATGTCGCTAAGAACTAAAATATGGTTTCTGTTGGTGTGCATATGGTAGAGACAAAATATATCATTCCGAAACTGGTAATAAGAAGCTAAATCCAGAATTCTCCCGGATTAAAGGTGGCGGTTCGATATCCGCAATGTCAAATTTCTCCATCGATTTTGATAAATCATCAACCGAGAAAGGGATGCTGCAACATCATTTAAAACCTAATTAGAACTTAGAAGAACGTCATCAACTGCCCCCAATCGAAACTTATTGGTATCACTAGTAAACGAAGTAACCTGGAGTCGTCATCCAAAAGGAATGAGTTGCTAACAGCATTGTTTGAATCTTCTGTCATTAGAACCCTCATATTTGCTATAACCTATATATATGGACAGAGAGATATATACATGAATAACTTAACTATGTATATAATCACACAGATCATCAGTAGCTTAAGGTGACTTACATCTGGGGACACGCTGTGAGTGCCATATTTGTCATCCCAGTACATCGTGCTGATCCTATATAACTGTTGTATGCTTAGTACCTGTCCAAATTTTCCATTTATCAGAAAATGCATTCAAAATCCTTGATTTTCACCTTTTACAACATTTCAAAGCAAATTGGCAAGTGTTTCATTTGGAATTTATAAGAGTTGTATCATATTGGACAGGAATACTTCAACTTACCGGGCAAAGATCATGGCTGATCTCATCAAGATTTTTCTTTGGTTTTTGGTGTATGACCTGTATTTGGAGCAAGCATTGCATTATTATGGTTTACCCTCCTGGGACCATTCTTAAGCCTTAAGATTTAGATAGAAGATAAGGAAAGGTTACCAGAAACCCAATGGCCTGTCTGATATGCTTAAGCTCATCCCACGAAGAACCCGCATACTGCAGTTGTTGTTGTTAGCTTTGTTGAGTTATAATAGTAGAGAGAAAGCTACGAGATGTACCTCATCTGTTGCCTTGAAACACCAGTGTTCCAATTCAGACAAGCCAGCTTTGACGTACTCGCCATTGCTAAATGAACAACATTCGCGTCTCAATAAAAGACTGTTGGGGACAACCAAGGAAGCATTTGATTAGCAGAAGATAGCTAGGAATATTTGGGTCTAGAGATAGTAGGATTTTAGATGCTAATGAGCCCGGAAAACCTGTTAAACAGCTGAACATTGATGAATGAGAATATCTGCGTAAACACTTTACGCACCAAGAATGAAGGAACCTAAAAAACACAAGTAGAAGACTAAACTCAGGGCAGTCCAGAACTAATTTATATTTAGAGGAAATGGAATAGCAAATGAACTCACATTGTTTGATTTCAGAGTATTAAGGAAATTTGTAAGGCTCTTGACAATTCCTTGCCAGTGGGCAATTAGTGCTTGTTGAGCTGCAGTGTTGCCAACAGACCGAGATGCTCCTTTAACTAAACTTGCCCTCGATGTTCTTGGCGCCTATTTGAAGTTGCCAACAGAAAATTTTTATTAGCTGGAAAACCGTCATTTTGCTTGGTGAACGTGGTGGCTGTAATAAATGACATATACCTGAATGCACAAACCAAGGAGTGGAGAAATCTCCTTCTTCAAGTTATCCCGAATCATTCCATATATCTTTTCAACATAAGCTGTGAGCTGCTGCTTAAACAGTAGAGCCGGATATTTTGCTTCAACTTGTCTTAAGGAATCCACTCCACCACCCGTAGTACCGTTTATCATGGCAAGATTTACACCTTGGGGTGCCCCGCGGAAGCTCTGTAATGGCACATTCTCAAATTTAAACTTATAATGAAACATGAAGCGTTTACTACATTATGTTGATGGATCTTTAAGCATATAAGCATATATATATATACCTGAGTCGTCTTTCCAAATAGAGTGGCAGAAGATGAACGACGGCGCTGTGGAGCCATCCCAACTGCACCACTAGCTTTGAGCGTACGCTGGAGGAGTAAGAGGAGTGTTGAGGCATTGGATAACCAATAGGCCAATGTGTTGTTGTTATCTTGAGTCTGAGAGATCAACTTTCGCAAAATTATTATCGAATACAATTGCAATCAAAACTAATACCTAAGCAAATTAGGAAGCCAAGCAAACCTCAATGGCATGGCCTATTGTCTGAATAATGCGATCAAAGACACTGGTTCGTTCAACTTCAAATGACCTCCATTGCAGTAGGCATTTGTAAATGATACATGCTGTGATAGGTCTGTTCCCCTGGAAACCCAAGTGTTGGACAATGCAGCGGATAAGTAGCTCGTGATTTTCTTGTTGCTTCTCGTTTAATGATTTTTGTGGTTTATCTTCCACTTCTGAGGGATCTCTATGGTTCATCGAATGGCTATGCAAATCCTGATTCAAATTAAAATCCAGGGTTTCATCATTAAATAAATCCAAACCTAAATATGAGTCTGACAGATGATCGAAAACATATTAGTAAACATATTTACCAAGTTTGACCTCGCATCCACTGCAAGATGACCACTCTCTGAACCTCTCTGTTATCATTAAACAGAGGTAAGTCTTCAACTTCAGACAGAAACAACAAAAAAATACATGTGATTTTATTTATTTGAATTTATTGTTCTAATTTACCTGTAAAATAGACCGGCAGCGGCCAGAGAGAAATTTATTTGGTGCCATGGAGACAGCCTGTTGCCGTAAGACTTTATTTTCCGACTCCAAGTTGTTGCACTTTTCCTCCATCCTGATCACAGTAACTTCTAGTTTCAGCTCGGAGGAGGATGGAATTACCAGCAGAATCATGATGAACAGATTAATAACAAAAATGTATGATCTATTCATACCTTGTCAGGGATTCTTGGAGTTGTTGACCTCTCTTCTCTGACTCTTCTAGTTTTTTACTTTTTTCTTCAAGAGACTCTTGAGTTTCTTCGAATTTCCTCACTGCACCATCAGCCCTTTGTTTCTCGTCTTCTAGAGTAGCCTGTTGGAACAAAAATGATTACGAATGCTAAGTGTAGTCATATGTAACAATGAATGGAAATCTCAGATTTGAGATGGAATTAATTTTCCGGTAAACTGAAAAGAAATATCAAACAACTGATTGACCATTGATAGCCACTGACTGCAAGTACCTTTACACTCTCCAATTCCTCCGTCATTAATTCAATCTTCTTGGTATCTTCAACTAAAACTTGTGTTTCTTTGATAACAGGAGGTGCTTCTTCAGCGGCTTTCTTGGCAGCTTCACGTTCCTTCGCAAGCAACGCATTGGTTTCATCAACTTTCTTCCTCATTTCCTCGAATGAACTCTGAAGTTTCGTTATCTCCTGAGTCTTTGCTTCTTCTAAGTCAACCTGCAAAATTAGTTCAGTGCTAGGCATTATATATCTATTTCAAAATGATCAATTAAAATGATGTTTCGATAGCAAATACCCTCAAACGTTTCTCCAACTGGACACGGTATGTGAGTTCTTCGACTTTCTTTTCAAGCATATCCTTTGCCTCTTTAAGTGCTCCTGTTTCCCTTGAAGCCTGAAAAAAAATATTAATGTTGTTGAATAGTTAACCGAGTATCCATAATCATAACAGCAGCAAATCTAATGTTTTAAGCAGTCGCTTAGTTACTACGAAATAAAGAAAACAATAAATTATTCAGTTTCAGATTCAAGGTCCCTTGAACTAAAATCCTGATTTCGAAAGTATTTGCAAAAGTTTAAATACTTGCCGATGCATAGTTTCCATCTCCATGTACATGACATTATAGTTTCCAAAACATTATGACGTATTATTCTAGTAGGCTTTTGGCAATGTAATGAATATATATGTGAATAATGAAGAAAAATCTAGGTAAATCCACATAAAATACTTTTACCATTTTGAGCTTCCTAAGTTCTCTCTTAGCAAGTCTGCCTCTCCACCGTGTCTGAGATAGGATCACTCCATTTTTAAGCTTTTTGTAGTACGAGATTGCTCTGTGACAACGCCACTGAGCCTGCCATTAGTAACAGGAAATTGTTTGTTAATGATTATGAGGAACCTAAGTTAATTTTAGAGCATGTAATTCTCGCAAGAACAGAGACCTGAACAATTGTGGCAGCCTTTGTTTGCTTCCTGTATCTGAATTTTTTACGAGCAGCCATTGCTCTTAAGCCAGTCTGTACAACAAGAGAAGCTACATGGAGCTTTTTATAAGATTTTCTAGAATAATATTTCCGACCATTCTTCTGAATCTTCACAGCAGCAGCTTCTCGTCTCAAATTTTCGTACATTTTGCAGGAAAGTCTTCCTACGATGTTTACAAAAGTTACATAAATACTTTCAATATTCAGCAGATCACTCATAT